CGTACCTTGAAGACATATGTATTGGCATCAAATGTCACATAAACACACACCAGCTAGGAACACACATGCTATACATGTCTCCATGTGATCACAACCACAGCACATGTGAAGTGCTACAATTACCCCTCAGAGTGGTGGAACGGCCAAGGAGTTTGCATGAAAAATCAGAACATACCCGTACACCAAAGCAATTCAAAAGGACCAAGTCACCCTCAGCAAAATGACAATAATGGGAATGACTTAACCAACAGGTTTAAGTTTTTCATACTAAACTCTTTTTGGTGTGCTATTGTCCGTCCCTCAATCATCAGTACTAATTTAAAAATGTGTGTTAACTGGAACAGAGAATCCTAATCTAATTCCATATTTAGAGAATCTCTTGGTAATATAAAAAAGGCACATATCAAGACCTAGTGATTTGAAAAATTACATAGCATATGCTGTTACATATTTTTCATGTAGTCAGTTGTATTAACATATAACTGTGCTACTGTTAGACTTGAAATATTTATCCATTGGCCTACATAAAGTACCTGGACTTTTGGAAACAAATACAAAAACAGATTGACAGCTAATAAAAATAAATATTCTACCTAAAGCAGAGTATATAATTAGTGGTGGACTTCATGGGTACAACAGGCACTGTCTGCTGGTGGCCTCTCATTGGAGGGCATTGCTGCAGGATCGTGTCCCCTCTGAGTGGACACACCTGGCTATGACGGTGACCCACGGGTAAGTCCTCCTGGGAGCTACCAGTGCAGCCCCTGATGCGCCCTGCCTGAGACTGCAGGCGGAGCATGACAACTGTGCAGCTTTAAGGTTCTGGATGTAACTGAGGAGACCAATAGATTGAGAGAGTACTGTCAACATTTTGCAGGCACTTTCACTTCCACACTCTCAGTGAGCTGTATCCAGACACTTCCAGGAGTGTTGGGTCAAATCTGCTTACTTTTTTCAATTTCAGGGTTTATCAGGCCACACCTCTCAGGCTGTGCATTACCCAACACTGGCGTGAAGAAGAGCCACGCAGCACAAAGCAGAAAGAAAAGCAGGGCCCAGTGCTGCCGCAGGGCACTATGGCCTCAGGCTGCACTGCTCTGGGTGCTTTGCTATTTAACCACTGTAAACTGTCTTGTTAAGGTGGAAAAAAGCAATGTCGGTGCCTCACTAACTGTTACAAGTGGAAAGACAGCATCTGTACTGGGAAATGTCTTCCTTATGGTTCTAAAGCCATGGTGCCTACACGCTTGCCTTCCCTTCCGTTTCTAAACCCCTCTGGGTGGACATTACAACCCACTTGAAAGAGAAAGGGGTAGGAGGGCTGTGAGCAGTAACTCGGAAGAAAGCCTTGATTGATTTTTTTTTTTTTTTTTGCACCCAGGCTCATGCTTGCAATTCCAGCACTTCGGGAGGCTGAGACAGGAGGACTGCTTGGGCCCAGGAGTTCAAGACCATCCTGGGCAACATGGAGAGAATCTGTCTCCACAAAAGTTTTTTAAAAATGAGCTGGGTGCAGTGGTGAGTGCCTGTAGTCCCAGCTACTCTGAGGCTGAGGTGGGAGGATGGCTTGAGCCCAGGAGGTAGAGGCTGCAGTGGGATGTGATTGCGTCATCATACTCCAGCCTGGGTGACAGGAGTGAGACCCTGTCTCTAAAAAAGTAATAATAAAATACTTTAGAGCAACAAAATACCCAAGGAAAGAAGAAAGGCACAGCTGGGGCAAGCATGGTCAAGTGTGGGTAACACTGAATTGGAGGTGATGTGGGTTCCTTATATTCCTGCTTTGTATCTTTTGAAAACTTCCTAAATAAAAAACTAAAAAATTATCTCTAGAAAGTGAGGTTCCATTAACACAAACCAAAAACAACAGGATCTATTCTATAGGAGGCCTAGTAGAAGATGCCTGAGAACAAAATTTATTCAGAATCTCGCACATGAGGGAGTGATGAGACACCTCTGCCGGGGGGGCGGGGGCACGATCCCACTCCTTAGGAAGGAACATTCCAGTTTCCGCAGCATTAGCTTCACCAGGGAGCGGCCACCCCTGCCCCACAGCAGTGCTAGCTCCAAACCACCCAAACCTAACCTGCCGTCCGGACGCCAGGTGGGTTCCCTTAAAAACAAAAAGACAACTTTGTTAGTTCCCAGCATCAGCAAGGACAGTCGTCAGGCAACACTGATGAAGGAGAGAGGAACCATCAGCTGCCATATGAATACGAAGGCTTAGGAAAACGTTTTAAACGTAATCTATGCTCATTTCTCCCCACCACACAAACACAAGGTTTATCTTTGGTGAGACAGTAAGAAAAGCAGAACCTCCCAAACAGTCCTGTCCTGACCTCAGGTTCACTGCTGCGCTTCTGTCTGTCACAACATTGTTGCAGGTATTTGCCAATGTAGAAAGTTGTGCCCAGTGGCCCCTAAAGCACTAAGATGGCAGGTGCATGAATAACAACTAGACAGAATGAAAGTTCTAGCTGCATAAGCAAAATGATGAGACTGCGGTTTAGGTATAACAAAGCTACAAAAACAGGAAACTGCCTGATGTGGTTAGCCACAAAACCCCTGCTGGCATCCAGCCAACACTGATGAGAAAAGGAAAACCAGCCCTTACAAGATGCCCTCGATGGCTCAGACACCTGAGCCATGTGGTCCCTGTGCAATCAATCACAGTAAATCCATCCAGGCAAAACATCAGAGATGACAGATCTCACAATGTGAACAGGAATGAAATGTGAAATTTCCACAAGACATTCTGGGAAGAGAATTAAACGTTAAATGTGGTATTGCACTACTAGGTAAGATCAGAAAGCAAAGACAACAAAAACCCCAAACCCTAGCTGTGGACTTGACACACTCAACAGTGTCGTCCAGGGCTGGCCTGAGCCCGGCGCTTGTCGGTGCTGAGCTGCATGGCAGTGGTTTCCCCATGACGTCCCTGGATGGACCCACCCACCCTGTGCCACGAACATCAGCCTTGACTTTCATGGTGGTTAAGACTGAGAAGCTCTGCATGTGGTACCCAGCAGGGCCCATGGCACCTGGTGTGTGTGTACAGGTACGCTGGATGGGTGGACAGGGCCACCTCAGCCCACCTGCCCTTGGGACCCTTCCCACTGTCCTGGGACAGAATGATGCCCATGGTGTGTCTGGTTCTGCTTTTTTTGCAACCATATATCTTCTATATTCCCAATTAAGCCGAAGAAAAGAAAACAGCTCACACTTACATAAGTCCATTTTAAACAAATGCCTCTCCAAGACCACTATCTACATATAGCACTATTTCCGGGTCTCAAGTCAATAATGAGGCAGTGGCCCTTTGACACCTTTAAAAAAAAATTAAAAAAAACATGACATGGTGCCTTTGGCACGGGGATAGTTCCAGGCACCCCCTCACTCCCAACCCCAGCGCAGTGGATGACTGTCCCCCCAGACTCCCAGTGGGACCCTTTTTTCTCCACTTGTCTGTGCAAAAGGGCTGCTGAAGAAAAGGCTAATGTCCACAGGGGCCTTTACGGTCTCAGAGTCCCAGGAGTTTGATCACAGCACACAGGAGGCCATGGCCTATGTCCATCTTTCCCAGGGTTAGGGCTGTAGAGGCATACTCAAGGTTCTGAGTAGCACAGTGGCTGGACAATTGAGACAAAACCTGTGTCCTAGTTAATTATAGGCAGCAGGGCTCATCTTGAAAAGCAGCATCAATAGTGCAACACACATATTCTATTGAAGATCAACATTAACAGAACTGTGTAACATTCAGAATGTATAGCACCAGTTTTTACTTGAATCAAAGCATATGCCAAAAACCAAGCTATAAAGACCAATTTATTGGCTCTCTAGGAGGACTGGCTGGAGGTCAAATTTTTTGACATTCAAAGAAGTATAATAAATCAGGAAATTAAAAAAAAATTGAATACGTAGCCATGAAATGAAAGTCACTTTCTATGTTTAAACCAAACAATTCTGAGCTCTAAACTACATAGTGTGGGTGAGTGGGTTGCCTTGTAAAGCAACCCAGAGTGGTCAAGATGGGTTTTTATCTATTTGCTCTCCTGGAGTTAAATTCTTTAAATTGTTCTGTAAATCAAAAGGGACTCTTTCTCCACTTGTCTGTGCAAAAGGGTTGCTGAAGAAAAGGCTTATGTCTAGGGGGGCCTCAGTTTCAGAGTCCCACGAGTCTGACCCTGTGCTGCTGGAGTCCTCGGCCGTCGTGGGCGGGTAACTGAGCTGCTCTAACTGGTCGATGATGTCAGAGAACTGGAAGGCCGAGCTGGACTCGGAGCGGACTGAGTAGGCTGGGAAGTTGACCATGGAGCTGGCCTCAGATTGATTGGCTGAGCTGCATGTGTGCAAAGACAGCCCACCACGCAGCGGCATGTTATTGAGGGAGCTGTTTTCAGACTGGCTGTTCCTCAGTGAGCTGGTCTCAGAGGGACCCAGCAGGCGCTGCATCCGGCTGGCCTGCGCCTTCACCTCAAACAGCTCCGAGGTGTCTGAGGGGTGTGCGCTCCCACTGAAGTCACTTTCTTCCTCAAATGCAAAATCGTCTTCTGTGTTCATGTCTACTGCCTCAGTGGAGTACCTGTCTGGGCTGGACTGAGCAGACCCTGGAAGCTCACACAAAGGAGGGGCCACCAGAGGCTGGGCAGAGGCCTGAGGTTCCTGTGGAACTACAGAGCCATAAGGAAAAGAAAATGCCTCAGAGCCTCCAGCAAAGAAAGAGATGTCTGCTGGGTCATCGTCTATGAACTCCTCAGACACCTGCAGCTGGGCATTTGTCAATGTGAAAGCAGGGGCCCCCCCACGGCACTGCCGGTCACACCGGTGCTCCCCACTGGAAGGAAATGAGCCTGTGGTAAAGTCATCCCCACCATTGTCATTTTTACAAGCAGCTCTGAGCTCCCTCCCGGCCCTCCCTGTGTCTAGGTCTAAGGCACCGAAACCCTGCCCCCCAGCACAGACAGAACCACAGCTGCTCACAACATGACAAAACCCGACACCTGGACCAGGCTGGAGTGCGGGGGGCCCGACGGGCTGGGCCGATGGTGTGTCAGGGCCTCCAGCCACTGCTCCACTGCTCCTCTCTGCAGCTGGACTCTTGATGTAGGAAACCTGGGGCTCTGTGAGAGAGCTGCTGCTGTCCTTAAACTCTGGCAGGCCAGGGGGCACCAGAGTGGAGGGAGAGAGTGAGTAAAAGGAGGCATTCGCTGAAGATGGGGAGCCAGGAGTCCTCAATCCCTCGGGGAACGAGATGCTCTGGGGATCAAAATTCAGAAAAGAAAAAAAGGATATAAAGTTACAAATTACCACTAGAAGTTGCAAAGCCACCTGGCCTAACTTAGGGCATCCACACATTTCTATCACAGCTTTTATGAAAATGGGCAATTCACCAGACTTTCCCTTGTAGAACCGAAGATTTGTAAAAGTAGCATTGCAAATCAACCCAGGATTGTCTGTTTACAAACCCTTACAATTCAATTTTTTCTCTTACGACATGAAATATCCACAATAAAGAAAAGTTTTTTAAATAAATTACAATTTTTAATTTTTATTAGAGACAGGGTGTTGCTCTGTTGCCCAGGGTGGAGTGCAGTGGTGCCATCATAGCTCAAACTCCTGGCCTCAAGTGATCCACCCATCTTGGCCTTCCAACATACTGGGATTACAGGTACATGCCACCATGCCCAGCCAAGAAAACCTCCATCTTGCAGAACCTAATGACACGTGGTCCATGTCTCCCTGGAATCCCGTTACCAGGAGATTCATAGTTTTGTTGAGGGGTAAAATACAGCAGGAGAGGAAGTGAGCCATTCCACTCAGCCAACAGAACCCTAAACCACAGTACTGACAGGTAAGTAACAAGTCCAAGTTCTACAGTAATGTGCACTCATCTGTCAGAGATGTATCATCACCAGGGAGTTAGGACACACACCAATCCACTCATACATGTAACAGAAGGTTGAGGGTCACTGCCTAGGATGCCCTTTGCCAATGAGAGTGGCCCAAGAGCCTTGGGGCCTTCCAAAAGCACTGGAGTGGCCGCAAGTCTGAGGGAGAAGCGGCTCCCAAGCAGGATGAGGAAATACTGAGGGGCCAGGACTAGATGTCAAGTGGCTATGTTGCATCACCCACTACTCCATGGGCACCCTAACACATCCGCCCCTCATGGTTTTACACACAGGGACACAGTTGAGCCCCCTCTACTCGCTAAGTGTCCCTCCTCGTGTGCTATCACGGGATGCAGTCACGCTTCGAGAACATCCCTTACTATATATACACATGCCACATCGTTAAGACCATGGTCAGACCAAAATACAACCAAACACAACTGAGTAACTTTTTGTGCAGTATGTACACAGGCAATGCACACATGCACGTGTTACTACTCAGGCAATGCACACAGGCATGTGTTACCATATGCAAAAGGTGCAAATGTAACTGCAGAAGGCTTGGTTACTAGGCTTTCAGAAACAAAATAGTAGGTCACAGTCCGTAAGATTAACCTATTTTCAAATGCTGATCATATCATGTCTCAATTCAACCATATTCAATATTCTCGTGTGGCTTTTAAAATGGAATGGAAGATAATTGAAAGTGTAAAGGTTTTATTTATTTATTTATTTTTGAGATGAAGTTTCACTCTTGTCGCTCAGGCTGGAGTGCAATGTGCCATCTCGGCTCACTGCAACCTCCACCTCCCAGGTTCAAGCAATTCTCCTGCCTCAGCCTCCAGAGTAGCTGGGATTATAGGTGCCTACCACCATGCCTCATTAATTTTTGTACTTTATTAAACCCGGGGTTTCACCATGTTGGCCAAACTGGTCTCGAACTCTTGACCTCAGGTGATCTGCCCGTCTCAGCCTCCCAAAGTGCTGGTATTATAGCCGTTGAGTCACTGCGCCCATCCTTAAAGGTAACTTTTAGATGATTCTTATTGTGACATTAAATTCTTTCGAAGACCGGGCGCGGTGGCTCACGCCTGTAATCCCAGCACTTTGGGAGGCCGAGTCGGGTGGATCACGAGTTCAGGAGATCAAGGCCATCCGGGCTAACACGGTGAAACCCCGTCTCTACTAAAAATACAAAAAATCAGCCGGGCGTGGTGGTGGGCGCCTGTAGTTCCAGCTACTCAGGAGGCTGAGGCAGGAGAATCACTTGAACCTGGGAGGTGGAGGTTGCAATGAACTCAGATCGCCCCACTGCACTCCAGATTGGGTGACAGAGCGAGACTCCATCTCAAGAAAAAAGAAAAAAAAACTCTTTTTTTTTTGAGACGGAGTCTCGCTGTGTCTCCCAGACTGGAGTGCAGTGGCGCGATCTCGGCTCACTGCAAGCTCCGCCTCCCGGGTTCACGCCTCGACCTCCCAAAGTGCTGGGATTACAGGCGTGTGCCACCACGCCCAGCCAAAAAAACTCTTAACTTTGTGGTTGGGTATGGTGGCTCATGCCTGTAATCCCAACATTTGGGAGGCTGAAGCAGAAGGATCACTTGAGCCCAGGAGTTTGAGCCCAGGCAACATGGTGAGACCCTGTCTCTACAAAAAAAAAATACAAAATTAGTTGGGTGTGGTGGCATGCGCCCGTAGTCTCAGCTACTTGGGAGGCTGAGGTGGAAGGATCACCAGAGCCTGGGAGGTCGAGGCTGCAATGAGCTGTAATCATGCAGCCTAGATGATAGAGTGACACTCTGTCTCCAAAAAAAAAAAAAAAAAAGAAACTTTGTAAAGGAATAATTAAAAAATACATTTCCTTTTCATTTCAACTGAATTAAATTAACAAGAAATTTCTTTTTTTTTTTTGTTTTTGAGACGGAGTCTTGCTTTGTCTCCCAGGCTGGAGGGCAGTGGTGTGGTCTCGGCTCACTGCAAGCTCTGCCTCCTGGGTTCATGCCATTCTCCTGCCTCAGCCTCCTGATAACAAGAAATTTCTAAAGAGGAAACATATCTAAAAGAGTTTAAGGTTTTCATGTACCCATGAAAAAAAACTGGGACACCATGAGCTTTTTTTTTTTGAGATATTCTCACCCTGTTGCCTAGTCTGGAGTGCAGTGGTACAACTGTGGCTCACTGCAGCCTTGAACTCCTGGGCTCAAGTGATCCTCACACCTCAGCCTCCCAAGTAGCTGGGACTATAGTTGGTGCCACTACACCTGACTAATTAAAAAAAATCTTCAGATAGATGGGTCTCACGATGTTGTCCAGGCTGGTCTTGAACTCCTGGCTTCAAGCAATCCTCCAGCCTCACCTCTCAAGTAGCTGGGAATAAGGGGGTGAGCCACTGTGCCCAGTTCACATAACTTTTAATATAATGAGGTGCAAGTGTAGCTTCTGAAGTGCTATGACAGCATAAATGACAAACCATTAAAAATTAACATTGAACAGAGATAAAGGTTATAAATACGAAATTGTAGCACCATGAAGAAAAACTTATGATATGTTATATAAAAATATCAAGATTCTGACTGGGCACGGTGGCTCCTACCTATATTCCCAGCACTTTGGGAGGCCAAGGCAGGTGCATCACTTGAGGCCAGGAGTTCGAGATCAGTCTCGCCAACATGGTGAAACCACATCTCTACTAAAAAACACAAGAATCAGTCAGGCGGCCAGGCGCGGTGGCTCACGCCTGCAATCCCAGCACTTTTGGGAGGCCGAGGAGGGCAGATCATGAGGTCAGGAAATCGAGACCATCCTGGCTAACACAGTGAAACCCCGTCTCTACTAAAAATACAAAAAAATTAGCCGGGCGTGGTGGCGGGCGTCTGTAGTCCCAGCTACTCGGGAGGCTGAGGCAGGTGAATGGTGTGAACCCGGGGAGCAGAGCTTGCAGTGAGCTGAGATTGCACCACTGCACTCCAGCCTGGGCGACAGAGCAAGACTCCATCTCAAAAAAAACACAAAAAACAAAAAAGTCAGCCAGGCATGGTGGTGTATGCCTGTAATCACAGCTACTTGAGGGGCTAAGGAACGAGAATTACTTGAACCCAGGAGGCAGAGGTTTCAGTGAGCCTAGATCATGCCACTGCACTCCAGCCTGGGCAAGAGAGTAAGACTCTGTCTGGGAAAACAAAACAAAACAAGCAAGATGCAACGTAAAAATATGCTTGCATGTGGAAGTTAACACGCCACCATAAAAATGGGAAGGGATTGTAGTGAAGTAGACCTGAAACATGAGAAGGTCGCTGATGTCCCATCACAGTGGCACGGAACAGCTGTTGTCACATGCTGGGACATTCTTGTCAAATGTTTTTGTGTGAAGTGTCTGTGTGAGTTGGTGTATCTTTGTTTTGATATAGTTGCAATCATGACAAAGACATAGAGATATAAATTTGTTTCCTGCTTTTCATTTGTAACATAACAGCAAGAATTTCCCCATGTTACCACATACTCTTTTTTAAGCCATGCTTTTAGTGGTTAACAAAAAAATCCTACTAAGTGAATATAGCTAAAAACGTAGTTAGTAAGTCATCTGGCACAGATGAGAGTTGTCAGGATTTTGTAGTGTATTATACACAACATTGCAATGCACATCTCAACATACAGGCTTTCTCTCTCTCTCTTTTTTGAGATGAGATCTTGCTCTGTCATCCAGGCTGGACTGTAGTGGCACTATCTTGGCTCACTGTAGCCCCAAATTCCTGGGCTCAAGCCATTCTTCCACCTCAGTTCCCTGAGTAGCTGAGACTACCCGTGAGCCACCATCGTGCTCGGCTAATTTTTGTATTTTTTGTAGAGACGAGATTTTGCCATGTTGCCCAGGCTGGTCTCGAATTCCTGGACTTAAGCAATCCTCCTGTCTTGGCCTCCCAAGGTGCTGGGATTGTAGGCATGAGCCACTGCCCTGCTGGTTTTCTATTTAGGACTCCTTTCTGAAAACAGAGTCCCAGAATTAGAATTGCTGAATTAAATAATATCATTAAGACTCTTGTTATAATAATGACAGATTATTTTCCAAAAGAGTACAGGTAACTACTATTGTCTACATTTTTAACCAGAAAAGACTAACCTGTTTTGGTAGGTCTGCAGGCAGAGCACGAATGGACATGTGAGTCTTGCTGTGCCTTCTGCAAAACAGAGAACAAGCTGTGAGAAACCAAACCCTCCCTTGCTCAGCGCCTGTTTTTAAAGCAGCAAAAGCAGGTACTGTATCCATGAAGAAAACCTCCCATGAAAATGTAGCTAAGAGGTATCTAACCAGAAAGGGGCAGGATAATGGAAAACAAGAATTCAAATAAAAAACAGAGGTCCCAAGAGAGGTAAGATTACACACTCACACTAAAGGAAAAAATTCCACATGCAGAGAAACAACAAGAATTTTCAGATTAAAAGTTTACTATAGGCCAGGCGCGGTGGCTCACGCCTGTAATCCCAGCACTTTGGGAGACCAAGGTGGGTGGATCATGAGGTCAGGAGATCGAGACCATCCTGGCTAACAAGGTGAAACCCATCTCTACTAAAAGTACAAAAAATTTGCCAGGCGTGGTGGCGGGCGCCTGTAGTCCCAGCTACTTGGGAGGCTGAGGCAGAAGAATGGTGTGAACCTGGGAGGCGGAACTTGCAGTGAGCTGAGATCGCACCACTGCACTCCAGCCTGGGCGACAGAGCGAGACTCTGTCTCAAAAGAAAAAAAATTACAAATCCACTTTCTTTAAAACATTGAAACTGAACTCCTGTAAAAATACACGTTCATGTATTTGAAGTGACTTTTAGTCAAGTAAAGATTAATATTTAAAATAGGCTGGGCATGGTGGCTCACACCTATAATCCCAGCACTTTGGGAGGCTGAGGTTGAAGGATTACTTGAGCCCACATGTTTGACACTAGCCTGGGCAACACAGCAAGACCCTGTCTCTATAGAAAAAAAAACAAAAAAACAAACTAGCCAGGGGATGGTGGTGTGTGCCTATAGTCCCAGCTATTCGGGAGGCTGAGGTAGGAGGATTGCTTGAGCCCAGGAGTCTGAAGCTGCAGTGAGCTGTGATCGTGCCACTGTACTTCAGCTTAGGTGACAGAGAAAGACTCAGTCACTCTTCTCGCTCTCTCTCCATATATATATATTTAAATATTAATTTTAAAGGCACACACTTTACATCGTAAAGGCCAGAGCTTACCTTTCATATGGAATTCTCTTCATTCCACTGTCTTTGAAATAATCTACTAGTTGCTTCTGAGTTCTTCCACTGTGAATAAAGATTCAGATTTTTAATAAAGAACAGTAAGTCAGCATTAATTTTAGAGTAAAAGACAAAAGATTTACCCATCCTCTCTCATAAATATACACATATATATTTTATTTTTTAATTTTTTTTCTATTTTATTTTTTTTTGAGATGGAGTCTCAAAAAAAAAATAGGCTGGAGAGCAGTGGTGCGATCTCGACTCACTGCAAGCTCTGCCTCCCGGGTTCACGCCATTCTCCTGCCTACCTAGCCTCCCAAGTAGCTGGGACTACAGGCGCCCGCCACTATGCCCGGCTAATTTTTTTTTTTTTTTGTATTTTTAGTAAGAGACAGGGTTTCACTGTGTTAGCCAGGATGGTTTCGATCTTCTGACCTTGTGATCCACCCGCCTCGGCCTCCCAAGTGCTGGGATTACGGGCATGAGCCACTGTGCCCGGCCTATATTTTATTTTTTTAAGACTGAGTCTTGCTCTATTGGCCAGGGTGGAGTGTAGTGGCGAGATCTCTGCCTCCTGGGTTTAAGTGATTCTCATGCCTCAGCCTCCCGAGTAGCTGGGATTACAGGTGCCCGCCAACACGTCCAGCTAATTTTTGTATTTTTAGTAGAGATGGGTTTTCACCATGTTGGCCAGGTTCATCTCAAGTTCCTGACCTCAAATGATCCACCCACCTTGGCCTTCCAAAGTGCTGGGATTACAGGTGTGAGCCACTGGGCCTGGCCCACATATATATTTTAAAGTTATACTTTGTAGTAAGCGTAACTGAATTTGTAAGCAAAGTTTTTATTAAACCTATTTTTTTTTCCACTATTTTATTTCATATGCTTCCTCTAGCTATTCTTTCACAATACCTCCACTTTGTGTGTAATTCTCTGAAATATTTTATAACATTTCTTTCTTGACTAAGAATTACCTATTTTCTCAGCTTTACAAACCAGTGAGGGGCCCATGCAAGTCATGGCATGGCCCCTACCTGTATCTGAAGGAGGAGCCCCGGCTGAAGAAGACAGCTTTCGCTTTTGGCTTAGGTTGGTCCAAAAGTCTAAAAAAGGTGTGATACTCCACACATATCTTCCAGAAGTTCTTGCATTCATCTCTACTACCCAACAAAAATTCTAATGTGTCCTGGTAAGGTCCCTAGAAACAAAACATAAAGGTTAATTAATTCAAGAATGAAGTATTGGACGAGAGAAAGTACATTTAGGAAGCAGATCACACAATAGGGAATTCCAAAATTAAAAATTAGTAAGGATTTTTTTTGAGACAGGATCTTGCTCTGCGCCCAGGCTGGAGTGCAATGGCGTGATCTTGGCTCACTGTAACTTCAACCTCCCAGGCTCAAACAATTCTCCCACCTCAGTCGCTCCCCTCCACCCCCTCAGGAGGGACTACAGGTGCATGACACCAGGCCTAGATGATTTCTGTATTTTTTTGTAGAAAAAGGGTTTTGTCATGTTGGCTAGGCTGGTCTTGAACTCCTGAGCCCAAGCGATCTGCCCACCTCAGCCTCCCAAAGTACTGGGATTACAGGTGTGCACTACTGCACCCAGCCCAGGAAGGATTTTCTAAAAATTGTATACAAAGTCTTCTGGTTCCATTTGCTTAATTAAGAAAAGAGAAACAGTATTTATATTCACAGTAGAAACAGCAGAAAAATTAAGTCACCCACAATCACACAACTATCAACATTCTGAATTATATCTTTGTAAACACTTTTCCCACCTAGCAAAGGATGGCATTTTTCATGCCAGTTGACATATTTATATGTTATTACTGAATTGTTTCTACATGGTATATATTTTTAAAATCTAGAATGTTTTAGATGTTCAGGACATGCAGTTTTCAGGCCCACAAATATCGCCCTGAAGAAACTGCATTCACTCTCAGTTATTCCTTAGGATAAACTCCTGGAAATGGAACTCTGAGCTCAAAGGCTGCACATCTTTGAACCTGCTGATGTATGTTACCCAGTTACCTTCCACAAAGACTGTAACACTTTGAATCTAACATTTAGTCTTTAAAAAAGTGCTCAGGTATGTAAAGTGTAACTTTGCTAAATGCAGATGCAAACAGTTCTGGGCTTTCACTTATCGCCCTATTCAAGTTAATAGCTGCTTTGGTGAACTTTCCCTATCATCTCAGAATAACTGCAAGAAACTTTTTTTTTTTTTTTTACTCACAGAGTAAAACAGCTTTTACTTGTGTTTTGTATGTGTGTCTGGCATTCCTTCTACTTTCCTTTCATCCACAGAAGAGATATTTGTGCACCAATTAAAGCCACTTTCAAGCCTTCTACCAAAAGCAAACACACTTACATATCGCACGGGAACCCAGTGAGTGACAGAAGCCCCACTACTCAAGTGCCTTGTAAAGGCGAAGGCAAAACTTTTCTTCTGACTGGCCCAAGGGCTGTAAATCTCCCATAACCCAAAACGTGTCTGGGCTGACACAGGCATGGCTCGCTCTTAAGCTTCAAACCCCACGGGAGCTTGGCAAATCTTTTTATTTTCTAACTCCTTTTGTACAACGGAAATGCAGCAACTGGAACACCTTTGAATAACTGGAAGTACTGGGTTTTACCAAATACACTGCACAGGCATTTATTTTTTCCATTTTTACTCATTTCAGTAAATTCACATGTAACTATTACTTTATTAATGAGCAGTCAGTAAAGAAAGGAATATTTACTTCCTGATAATCAATGCTTCTTCAGTTAGAGCTATTCAAAGATCAATTTCTGAATGAAGGACACAAGAGAACACTGGGGCACTCCTCAATTCATTCTGAAGCTCTCAATTGCTGTAGGGCTTTAGATCATTTTGAACACTTTGTTCTTCAGCTTCATTACCTAGAGGACAAAGAGGCTGCCATAACCATGGTTCTCAGCAGCCCCTGGGAGCTTGTCAGATGTGTACCTTCTTGGGTTCATCCCAGACCCACTGAATGTGAAACCCTGGGGTTTTGAGCCAGCAACATGTGAGTGACAAGGTTCCTGGGAGAGGTAAGTGTGAGACCAGCTAGGCAGACTGCCCTCAGCCCCTTCAGACCTAAGTCCCGAATCCTGTCCTTGAGTTCTTGTGTGCATTATGCTGAAATGATTTACAACGTAGTTATGTTTTAGCAGAATAAATTATGAGTTAAAAAATGGTCAAAATAGGCTGGGCGTGGTGGCTCACGCCTGTAATCCCAACACTTTGGGAGGCTAAGGCGGGTGGATCACCTGAGGTCAGGAGTTCAAGACCAGCTTGACCAACATGGAGAAACCCTGTCTCTACTAAAAATACAAAATTAACCAGGTGTGGTGGTACATGCCTGTAATTACAGCTACTTGGGAGGTTAAGGCAGGAGAATCGCTTGAACCCAGGAGGCGGAGGTTGCGGTGAGCCGAGATCATGCCATTGCACTCCAGCCTGGGCAATAAGAGCGAAACTCTGTCTCAAAACAAAACAAAACAAAACAAAACAAAAAGCTAAAAATAATACTTACATGAACCTCTGGATGAAGTTTGATAAGAAATCTTTTCCTCTTGAAGCTTAGTTTACGGACCTTGGACCAATTGAAAGTGTTGATTTTGGTGGTGCCCTGAAATTCAAGAGACAGATTACATTTGTAATCTAACACATAACCCCTTTCTCATGAAATAGGGAATGCTTAAATTACATCTTTGCCAACACAGTAATCTACTTGGCATTTTACCATTATACCTGAAATGGCTCTGACTTAAAATGTCAATAACTAATCTATCTGTTCTAGAAAGATAATTAATTTTTTTTTTTTGAGAGGGAGTCTTGCTCTGTTGCCCAGACTAGAGTGCAGTGGTGCAATCTCCGCTCACTGCAGCCTCAAACTCCTGGGCTCAAGCAATCATCCTGCCTCAGCCTCTGGAGCAGCTGGGACTACAGACACCAGACACCAATCCTGCCTAATTTTCTATTTTTAATTTTTTTTTGTAGAGATGAGGTCTTGGCTATGTTGTTCAGACTGGTCTCAAACTCAAGGCACATCTGGAACATAAGAACACGAAAGGTTCAAAGAGATGGAAAAGATGTACTCAACTACTGACCAAAAGAAAGCTGGTGGAGCAATATTATCATCAGATACAATGCATGAGAAAGAGGCCTTACATAATTTAAAAGCAATTCACCAGGAAGATACACTTGGACTTGTATCTCTCCCCATATTGTTTCAAATATTTATAGGAAACAGACAATTAAAAGAAGAAATGGAAAGATTTGTGCTTTTTTTTTTTTTTTTTTTTTTTTGAGACAGAGTCTCACTCTATCACCCAGGCTAGAGTGCAGTGGTATAATCTCCATTCACTGTAACCTCCGCCTCCTGGGTTCAAGCAATTCTCCTGCCTCAGTCTCCTGAGCAGCTGGGACTACAGGTGTGTGCCACCACACCTGGTTAATTTTTGTTTTTTAGTAGAGATGGGGTTTCACCATGTTGGCCAGGCTGGTCTTGAACTCCTGACCTCAGGTGATCCATCCACCTTGGCCTCCCAAAGTGCTGGGATTACAGGCATGACCCACCGCACCTGGCTAATTTTAATTTCTTTGATAAGGTTTTATTGCAAAATTTTAAAATCAGTGTTAATATTATACATTGTTTGAAGTTTGCTCCTGCAAGGAGGGTGGTCTGGAAGGGGCAGTGATAGTGGCCAGGCAGGGCTGGGAGTAGAGTCAGGTTTCTCACTGAAGCTAGAACATAGTGCTAGAGTGTAACAGGAGCAAACAATGGGAATTCCTGGTCTCAGCAGATACAGACACAGATACAGAGGTAAATATAGGTATGTGAGGTGAGTGGGTGTATGTACACGTGTATAGCATTGTCTATTGAGAGGGCCAGGAGTGGTGACACCCCACAAAGCAATGGGCACACTGAATGCATGGATCTTGGTCTCTAAATACCAGTCTTCACTAAAACGGCTGGGCTCTGTGGGGAAATGGCTGACTCCACGGTGAAGCAGGCAAAGTACAAAACAAGGCTGGCATGTCTTATTTTGTAAGAAAGCAAAGAAGTGCTCATAAAATAAAAGGACATATAAGAAGGACATGAGGCTGGGCGCGGTGGCTCAAGCCTGTAATCCCAGCACTTTGGGAGGCCAAGACGGGTGGATCACGAGGTCAGGAGATCAAGACCATCCTGGCTAACATAGTGAAACCCCGTCTCTACTAAAAAATACAAAAAACTAGTCGGGCGAGGTGGCGGGCACCTGTAGTCCCAGCTACTTCCTGCCTAATTTTCTATTTTTAATTTTTTTTTGTAGAGATGAGGTCTTGCTTTGTTGCTAAGGCTGGTCTCCTGAGCTATGGTGATTCTCTTGATCACACAATAGGGAATTCCAAAATTAAAAATTAGTAAGGATTTTTTTTGAGACAGGATCTTGCTCTGCGCCCAGGCTGGAGTGCAATGGCGTG